ATTTTAATTTAGGATGTTTGCATCTAAATTTGATTTCGATTTTAGATATGATGTATATTTCTAACATATACGAGAGAGAGAGAGAGTAATTAATTTGTTTTTTCTAAAAGAGAGAGAGAGACAGAGAGAGAGAGAGAGAGAGAGAGAGAGAGAAATTCATTTGTTTTTTCTAACCAATAGTGCACGATGAAATCATAGAACAAAATCCCAAGTTTAAAGTTTGACTGGATTAAAATGATATGAAAAAGAATAGACTCATGGTAAAGCAACACTAACGAAAGTTCATATTCTTTCATAATAATCGTTGCATCCATTAATTTCCTTTTCTTCTGTGCATTTCTCTCTCTCCCTTGATAATCAAAATATTTGCGATTACCTCCATGACATTAACTATGCAACAACACCATCAAATGAGCTGAAACTCAAGAAACTTCCAACCATTATCGAATTATGTAACAATTGACGTTGTTAATGGTGAACACTGATTTAGTTCTCGAGTTTCTTAATCATTCTTCCACGTCAATTGTAAGAAAGCCGAGTCCTTGGATTTGGATTTTAGATATCTCAGCCATTGGATAAATTCGCTTGCAAGAAGAGCCTTTTGTTACTGGTTTCTTCAATTTTCATTTACATTTAGAATATTTAACAATAGGTGTTGGGAAATTATGTAATTTGTCATTTGGGGCGACATATGTAATTAATTGTGTATGAAAACTGTCTTAAAGTTAAGCCCAAAATTAAAGTGATCTAATAAAAAATTAAGTAATTGGATTTTGGGTATCTAAATAAAGTGTGGGCGGACTATATGCGTAGAAATGAGATCTATTAGGGTTTGTATTTGACGATGAGTCAAATACATATGGAAACTATATATAGGGCTATGGTCTCCAATTCATATGCATTTTTTTCTCATTTTTTGTGTCATCCCATCAATACAAGAATATAAGATAAAAACATATTGAAGAGAAAGATCCATAAACCCACAATCAAGAATCAAGAGGAAGGTTGGAGCAGTTAAATTGAAGAACATCAAGATTCATTATTAAATATATAAATCATTGGATCAAGGTAATCCGTGTTAATTAAGTTTCTTGGTGATTTGACATGAAGATCTTAGCAATTATGTAAAGTTTATAAAGTTTAAGTTCTATGAAAAATTTCAACAAGTGATATCAGAGCAAATTCATGTTGAATCATTGAGAATCAAAATTT